AGAGATGTGAGTTCAATCCCTGGGTCAGGAAGATCCCCTGGAGGAGGGCATGGCAACCTACCCCAGTATTCTTGCCTGGAAAACCCCATGAATAGAGGAGACTGGAGGGCTAGAGTCCATAGGGTCACAAAGAGTCGGACATAACTGAAGCGACTTATTAATAGTATGCATGCAATCCATTGTCTCTGACTGGGCCTCACCCATGCCACCTGGGAAGGAAAGAGATAAATCAGAGCTGGCCTCTGCTTTCAAGGATCTCCATCATGGCACAGAAGCGGTCATTTGTTTTACCCGGGGTATTTATTTTCTGAGGGCTGGAACCCAGCCTTGGCCACCTGTGTCTTCTCCAGTTGGCACAGCCCTAGGCACAAGGTAGATGCCAATGAGTTTTCAAAATGAATAATGACAAAGTGTCTCGAAAGGGTGGGGAGTGTTGAACACAACCTCTGCTGACTCTGCGTTGCCCAGACCAAAAGATGGCCATGTGGCTCGGAGGCTCCCAAGGAAGTGCCTGGACTGGTCCCTTCTAGGACAGTGCTGTCATAACTCTGGAAACCCCCTTGGCCCTGGGCCTGGGACCAAAAATCCAGACCCACAGGGAAGTCCCCCAGTCAGGCCCTGCCACCCAGTTCCCACAGAGGGGACCAAGGCAGAGGCAGGAGCTGGGGGCGCTCTGGGGGAGCTCTCATCTGGAGTCCCAGCCTCCGTCGGGTCAGAGTTCCCTAAAGGCGGGTGAGAAGCGAGGAGGGCAGGGCTGGAGTTGGCAGGAGCCCAGGGGAGGAAGGAAACAAGAAACAATCAAGGAAAAATCCATCCCAGGCCGGGGGTTGGCTCAGGCCACAGGGCCCTGCAGGCTGACCTCAGGCCACCACGGAGGAGGCCTCCTAGGGGTGGACGCAGCCTGTCCCACTCCCCGCCTCTCGTGGCAGGGGATGGGGGTGGGGGGAGCTGAGACCCTTTCGGGGACATTGTCTCCTCTCTCTGCCCCCTTGGTGTCCCTTCCCTTCTGATGCCTTGCCCCCAGACCTGTCCCCAGACTCCTGGTCCCCCTCATCTCATCTGCCTCCCTAGATCCCCAGTGGGAGGGGCCGAGGAGAGCTGGCTCCAGCCTGGGAGTCTTACCCTCCGACTCGGTTCCCCCATCATTCTCCCCAGATGACCTTGGAGAAGGGGGCCTCCAACTCTATCCCCCAGGGCCCTCAGAGGCTGGGGCTGCTGATGCGGGCGATTTCCAGGAAGAAGAGGCCGGGAGGGGAAGGAAGGACTGAGTCAGTCCCTGTGTGGCAATTACAGGTCCTTGGGTGGGGGAAGCAGCTGTGGGGTTGGGGGGCAGTGGGCCGGCGCCTGGGCCTAGCTCAGGATCAAGGCGAGGCTCCAGGCTGAGGGGAAGGGACTTGAATGACCCACTGGGGCATTTCTCCCTCCAGGCTTCCCCGCCTCTCAGCTCCCCTGAACAGCCCTCAGGGTCCTACCCCTTAGACACTAGGCTGTCCGAGACCCCCTCCGGCAAGATTAGTCCAGGCCCTGGTGGAGACGGCAGTCCCTGGACACGGGGTCAGGCTGAACAGGAGGCACTTGGCCTGAGCGTCCACTGGGTCAGAAACACAGGACACCTCGATGCTCCCGTGGCCCAGGATCCCAGCCTCATCACCCGTACTCAGGCCTTTACACACGGTCTGAGACATTGCATAAAAAAAAACAATTCTAGTCAATGAAATCCTGTATTATAAACGCTCATTAACTGCAGGGCTACCATGGCAACACAGGGCGTGTCTGCAAGGATCCCGTCCATTCAGCAGAGCTGAGAGCAGCCAGCAGCAGGCTCCCCAGGGACTCCGCAGGCCCCAGCCAAGCCACACAGCTGCCTCTGTGAATGGGGAGAATGGACCGCCTACCTGAGTGCTTGCAAAGCACAGAACCCAGTGCCAGGCACAGAGCGGGCCTTGGATGTGGGCTTTGCGGGGGCCAGAACTCCGGTTGATAGCTGGGGAGTAGGAACCGTCCAGGGAGCCAGCGCTGGGTGGAACACATCCAGGAGGGCTTTGAACAGCCCCAAAGCGCAGGTGGCACTTCCTGTGGCTTTGGGCCCTGCTTGGGAGCCCTGACCACACAACCAGGCTGAGCAGATGACTGACTGCTGAAGGAGGGGCCCAGGATTGGGTCAGGCTTGGGGGACAAATCATCGCCCAAGTGCTCTGTCATCCCCAGTGCTTGTCAGTTGCCCTCCCCCATACACCAGAACTTCTCCAAAGAGCTCCGGAGTTGCTTCCTGGCTTTGAGTGGCCTTGGATAAGGGTTTTTGCCTCTCCAAGCTTTCGTCCCTATAATTTTGTTTTGTCACCAGCCCTGAATGGAGCTCCTGACCTATCCCAAGTCCCTTCCCCCAACGGAGGATACTCACTGATGGGCACAGAGTGGGGGCCGAGTCTCAAGCCTTATTCTCACAGGCTCAGAGGAGTCATTAACAGAGTCAGCTCTTCATCATTAGACTCATTCCAAGTCAGGTGGCAAGGCCATCTGCCATCCCCCAAAGCTCCAGTTATAATGTTTCCACGAAACTCCTGCCTGCAGGGACTGTGTGTTCCCATCAACAAAATAAGCCCAAGTCCCTTATCTTGTTTGGGACTCATGGAACTCCACTTTTACAGGCAAGGAGGCTCAGAAAGGGATTGTCCTTTCTTTGTGGCCACAGAGCAAGTTGGCAGCACAGCCAGCTCAGAACCTGGGTCTGTGGCTCAGAGACAGTGCTCAGGGCTGGGCATCGAGCTGTCCCCCCAACCTGGTTGCTTTGTAGGAATGAGGGGAGGGCAGGGGTGACAATGGCTGGGTGGGAAGCCTGAACGGGGAGGAGGATCCAGAGCCAGCAGGTCTTGCCCTTTCAGGCTAAGTGGATCACTGTCAGTGCCCTGAGTTTCAGTTTTCACTTCTATAAAGGGGGATAGTGATGCTGGCCCTGTCCATCTCACTGGCTCTCAGAGGATTTGAGGAGCTCAAGGGCAAAAGGCACTGGGCAAAGGGCATAGGCCGGCCTGGGTGGATTGTTGGCTGACAAAGCCTGGTTGGTAGGAAGGGGGAAGGTACAACACTTACCCACCCACACCACAACTTGGCCTAGGGCCCCCTTCCTGCACTGTCCAGGTCTCAGCTTTCCTCTGAGCCACTAGGCCAGTCCTGGCAGTATCCACCTAACTGATGCTCCTTGGGGAGTTGAAGGAGCGGCCAGGAAGGCTCAAGATTAAAAGTTGAAACTTCCCTGCATTTGTTTTCTATTGCTGCTGTAGCAAATCGCCACCAACGTGGGGGCTTTGTTGTTCAGTAGCTCAGTCCTATCTGACTCTTTGGGACTCCATGGACTGCAGCATGCCGGCCTCCCTATCCTTCACCAACACCCAGAGCTTGCTCAAACTCATATCCATTGAACTGCTGATGCCATCCAGCCATCTCACCCTTTGTCATCCCCTTCTCCTCCTGCCTTCAATCTTTCCCAGCATCAGGGTCTTTTTCAGTGAGTTGTCTCTTGGCATCAGGTGGCCAAAGTATTGGAGCTTCAGCTTCAGCATCAGCCCTTCCAATGAATATGCAGTACCGATTTCCTTTAGGATTGACTGGTTTGATCTCCTTGCAGTCCAAGGGACTCTCAAGAGTCTTGTCCAGCACCACAGTTCGAAGGCATCAATTCTTCGGTGCTCAGCCTTTTTTTTATTGTCCAGCTCTCACCACCATAACTTGGGGGCTTAAAACAACACAAATTTATAAACTTGCAGTCCCATTGGTGAGAAGTTCCAACATGGGTCTAAAATCAAGCTCAGTGGGCTGTGTTTATTCTGGATGCTCCAGGGGACGACCCTCTTCCTTGTTTTTTCCAGCTTCTAGAGGCTACCTGCTTATGGCCCCTTCCTCCATCTTCCTAAGCAGCAGCACAGTATTTCTGCACCATCACATCTCTTTTTCTGACACTCCAGTCTCCCTCTTCCACTTTAAGGACCACCAATAATTATTGTGCTGGACCCACCCAGATAATTCGGATAATCTCTCTGATTTTTTTGTTTTGTTTTTTAAAAGTACAACACAATTTTTAAAAATTTATTTGTTTGTGTTGGGTCTTACTTGCCTCACATGGGATGTTTTGTTGCAGCACAAGGGCTCTCTAGTTGAGGGTGCATGGGCTTAGTTTCTCCTCTGCATGTGGGATCTTAGTTCCCCACCCAGGGGTAGAATCCATGTCGCCTGCATTGTAGGCTTCTTAACCACGGTACCACCAGGGAAGTCCCAATCTCTCTGTTTTAAAGTCAGTTGATTAGTAACTCTAATTCCATTGGCAAACTTAATTGTTCTTTGCGATATAAGAAAATACATTCACAGGTTCCCCCTCTTTAGGCGGAGCCATTACTCTGCCTACTGGATTCTGCTTCTCCCCATCCTTCCCTCCCTCCTGGCTTAGCTGACCTTCACCTCCACCTTCAGCATCCTTCCCTCCTTCAGGATGCCTTCCTGACCCCTCTCCTTGAGTCCCTCCCACATCTACAGTATGGAAGCTTCTGTCATCTTGGTCACATTGTACTGTCACAGATGTCAGGTCTCCTTACCTCATTACCATCCACCCTTTGCAGGGTCTGCCTTTCAGTAAATGTTTCTTCTATTCGCGAGCCCCAGGACCTCACCCTGACGCTGCTCAGGCCCCACCCAACGTTGTAAAGAGTCTGAGTACCAGTCCCACCCCCACCCCGGAAGCCACCGAGCCTGAAGACAAATATGGGCGTGGCCCGGCCACTCATCCCGCGCACACCCCCAAAGCCCTGTTTTCTAGGGGACGGGAAACTCCTGAAAGCTCTCGGAAGTCTGTAATATATTGACGTAAGCGCCTCCGAGGCCTCATTCATTTCCTCAGCAATTACTCAATACTTTTATGGCGGTGCCCTCCAGGGAGGGATCCCTCCAGGGACGCTCCTCTTCTGAATTCTAAGAATTCGGTCTTCCGGCTACCTCCCACCTCGGCCCTCCTAGAACCGAGAGTTTGGGCTCTGAAGGACATAGCCGGAGTTCGCGGTGTCCAGCCCCATCACCCGACGCGGCCTGGCCCGCAGCTGCCCGAGCTCGGACTGGACCCCCGCGCCCCCGCGGCTGCCGGACCCCTGCGCTGCGCCTCGGAAGAGGGAGCCCAAGCGGGCCCGCGAGTGGGGCGAGGCTGTGGGCGCGGCCTAGATGGGACGGCCCCGGCATTGGCTCTACAGGCAGGGGGCGGGGCCTCAGGGGCCACGGTCTTCCCTGTAAGTTCACAGCTCAGGTCTATCCCACCGCCGCGCGGTCCAGCCTCTGCGCTTTCGCCTCTCGCTGGTCAGCCGCCTAAACGCGCGTCAAGGTGAGTTCAGGCCCGGACTCTGCAGCCAGACCTCGGCTGCTAGGGGGGCGGGGCGGATGTCCCTCGAGAGGCCCACCCTTAAAGCGCCTCATCCCCGATCGCGCCTCGGTCCCCAACTTATCTCTACGTAGGTCCTTTCTGCCGTGAGATGCACGGCATTTCTCACCCGCTCCTCGGTCCCGGCGGCCACGCCCGCATTCCTCTCGGCCTGCGGGGCGCCGCGCATCCCGAACCCGAATTCCCGGTTCAGCCCTCCATGCTGCGCCGGGGCCCCCGCCCCACCCCCGGGACCTGGCAGTGCCCTCCTGCCTTTCAGCGCCCTCGCCCAGACCCGGGGTCGTATTTTTAGTCGATGGTGAGGTGTCCTCCTATCTTTAGCCGTGGCCGCGAGTGTCCTGAAACGGATCCGGACTGGGCTGGGCTGCGCTCGGGCAGAGGCCGGGGAGGGGGTCGGCGCCAGAACCCGAGCTGGGCCTGAATAGCGGGGCCCGCGGGAGCCACGGGGCGGGGGCCGCACGCCGAACTCTGGCCCTGCGCCGAGCGGACACTCGGACATCGCCTAGGCCGGAAAACACAGGGGAGGCTCCTCCCTGAGGTTGGATACCCGAGCAGGGTCTCCGATCGCTCCCTCTTCCCCCGATTGTCTGGTTGTGAGCCCACAATCCTCCAGGGGAAGAAGATCCTGCAGACAGTCCGCACCTGGTACGCGAACGTGCGTGCCTCTCCTTGGGAGGCGCCCGCCTAGAACTGTAGATTCGCTGGAGACCCCAGCGCTTGCAGGACCCCTCCGGGACGAGGGGCTGTAGAGGGAGAGCGCGCGCCACCTGGTGGCCACGGAACCGAGCGCCGCTCTACACAGGGAAGCTAGGAGACCCCCGTGGCCCCCGAGGGCGCCTGTACCGGAGGACCCCTCCGCCCAGGGGCTGCTCTTTTTCGGTCTTGTCTGGAGCACTGTCCCCAGAGAACCAGAATGCTTGAGGAAGTCCCTAGAGCTATTTGTTGAATAAATGTCGGCGCTGACAGTGACCCACTAACCCCCTCTTACATCCACACTCTCTCTGACTTCCAGTAACTCCCTCGTAATGGCCTTGTTGTCACCCCATTTCATGGATGAGGAAGGTGAGGCCAGAGAGAAAAGATGTTTTCCAGGTAGTAATGGGTTCAAGGTTAGGGGCCTGACTTTGGAACACCCCTGGTGGGGAGTGGCCTAGTATTCCTTGTGAGGAGGGGGCTCTGCCTCCAAGAAGTCATTTTCTCTAAAGGAGGCCCTTGGCGCCTTCCAGAGCAGGCCCACAGAGCTGGGATGGCTCCTATCTGCTCCTCCCAAAGCTGCAGGGCGCAGCCCAGCCCAGCCCAGCCCCTAGAGCCTCGTCCTGATGGACAGCTCATTTTCATATATCTGGACACTTGCACATTGAGAGATGGAAGCAGCCAAGAGGTAGGACTTAAATGGAGGAGGCCTGGGGACCTGGCAGCCCCAGCCCAGGTGGATCCCTTCTGCTCTCCAGGCAGTGCACATATTTTGGCATGGCCCCTTGTATCAGAGCCACTGGAACCCAGCTGGGTAGCAGTGCCCACTCTTCCTCTTACTAGCTGGGTGACCTCGGCAAAGTTGCTTGCTGTCTCTGAGATTCAGCTTCTGCCTCTGGAAAGGCCAGTGAGGACACTGTGTTGTGCCTAGGAGGTTAAGATGGGAACCATGCAAGGCTAGCTGGAGCCTGGGGTCTTGGAGTTGCCAAATTTGAATATTTGGGGCTTGATGGCTGCAGTTCCTGGCTCTCCCCAGTGGTTGACACTGGCCCAACCCTTCCCCCCAGCCTCAGTTCTCCTCACATCTGGAATTGGGTGGGTACATCTGGCTCAGAGCACGAGAGCTGTCAGGGACGCCGGATCTGTTGTGGAAACACTCAGGCTGTCTTGGCGCCCCTGTATGATGGAGGGTGGGGGGAGGGGGGAGGTCTGGCCCAAGTTCTGGGCAGATCCCACCAGTTGGCCTCCTTCTCCATGAGTGAAAAGGAAGGAAAACTATCCCAGGATTTCTCGCCTGCCAAGGGGACAGATAGGATATATGTCAGCATGCCTCCAGACCTGGCATGGTGGGCACAGATAAATGTCTTTTAGTTAAATGAGTGATGGGAGTCCAGGACCTCAGAGCACGTCCTGCCTCCCTCCCCTTCCCCCCCACCAGCTCCTTCCAAGCTTAGCTGGAATTCTGCCACCGGAGAGTCATTCCTTTGTTTCCTGTTAAGCTGCAGGTGCTCTGGGAGGGGCAAGATGTCCGGTCTCTGTGGCTCAGCACCACTGACCCGAGCTGTCCGGTCCTGGGGTGGGGTTTCCTGAGTAAGGGCCTGGCTGGGGGGAGGGCTGCCATTGGGATTCTGCCTCTCCTGCATCCTCCTTCCTCCTTCCTGCTCCCTCCTGCCAGCCCCCTCCTTCTTCTCTCACCCTGCTCCCCAGGCTGAATGCAGCAGAGGGGACTTCCCTGGTGGTCCAGTGGCTAAGACTCCATGCTCCCAATACAGGGATCCTGGGTTCGATCCTTGATCAGGGAACTAAAAGATCCCACGTGTCACAAGTAAGAGTTTGCTTACTGCAACTAAATACCCAAGTGCAACAACTAAAACCCAGCACAGTCAGATAAATAAATAAAATTTTTTTTAAAAAAGATGAAGAAGAAGAATGGGGCAGAAGAACTGGCAGAGGCTGCTTGACCCTTCCCCAGCGATTTCCCACCTGCTCAGCCCCTGTTGGCCCCAGGAGGGTGGGCTCATGCGGTCACCCATTGGGTGACCTTGGATGTTTCTTTGCCTTTCATGCTGATTCTACACTTCAGGCCAGTCCCCTGCTGCGGAAACTAGAGGGAGTGCTTGTTCCACTTCCTTTTTCTGTTAAACCTGTATGACATCCCTCCAGAGTGTATTTATTTTTTCCACCTTAAAAATATCTGTGTTTATTCTGACTACATGAATAATATGTGCTCATAAATAATACATGCTTCTTATTAAGAATTTGAGCTTATAGAAGTATGAACAAGAAAGGGGAAGTCACCTGAAATTCTACCATCTTGAGAGAACTACCGTCAACATTTGGCTACCATCCTTTCATACTTAGCTTACTTATATCATTTTTTAGTAATGAGACCTGATATTAAAGATAATTTTTACTGAGGACAACTTTCCTCCCATGTCACAGACCCCACACTCCATCCCTGCCCCCCGCCCCCGCCTGTAGGCAGCCCCTATGCCAACCTAGTGCCAGCCTTCTATATTATTTCCTGCTCCGATATAAGATATAATCCTATGCAGATCTGTATGTGTAGGTACACATACAGGCATGTATGGGGAGTGGGGAGCGGAACTGCTTTCAACAAATGGAATCTTCTAGACTACATTTTTGCATTTTGTTTCTCTCCTTTTGCAATGCCTTATGGGAATCCCTCCAAAATGTCTGATAGCTCTTATTTTATTTATTTATTTGGCCATGTCATGTGGCTTGCGGGATCTTAGCTCTCCAACCAGGGACTGAACCCAGACCTACAGCAGTGAAAGCTGTGAGTCCTAACCACTGGACCACTACGAAATTCCCTGAGAGCTCTCATTTTAAATGGGAATGAAAGGAGAGAGTTTGTGATGATTGAATGAGATGGGTTTGCAAAGAACTCAACAAAATCCCAGGCATGGAGCAGAGCCTCCACTCCCCAAGTATTTATATCCCCCACTCTCTCTTCCCCTTAGCTGCTGGGACAGAAAGGAGGGGCAGAAACTACAGTAGACTCAGTTCCTGCCCATAAGGAACTCCTAACCCGGAGGAAGAGAAAAGGGAAGCTCTGAGCAAGCATCTCCCTTCCAGGTGGGATGTGATTGGGCCAAACCGATGCTCCTTTCTTTGGCTGGGTGGGCTGAACACCTGCTTTGCATCCAGTCCTGGGCCCGGCGTAGGTGGGCGAGACAGAGGTCACAAGACCTCCATCCTCAGTCAAGTCAGGAGCTGAGACAAATCTGAGACAAGCGCCCCCCTCTGCCCCCCACGCCCCCACTCCTGATGACTTGGCACTGGTCACATCTTGGGCACAATTGAGTGCAGACGATGAAGATGAGCAGAGCTGCGGACTCAGAGCAGGAGACCAGAACCAGGGCTGTGTATGTGACTTCAGGCCTGTCACGCAGGGTCCCCACTCCTAGAGGGAGGGGCTTGGTGCTTGGGATCCAAGCCTTGAGGCCGCAGTAAGTCTGTAGAGGAACACAGGATCTTGCCAAGAGGCCTCCCACAGGAATACAGCCCCGCGTGGGCTCCTGAAGCTCCCGAAGGGCACCCGGAAGCCAGACAGGTGCCTTTGCCTTTGTCCTTCCATCTCTTACTCATATCCTTCGTGTTTCAGCTCCTCAGCCCGGACCGGAAAGAATCTCTCAAGGACAAGCCCAGAAAGCATTGCTGACTACCAGCTCTGCGCCTGCCTGCTTCAGGTTTTCAGAAGCGTTTTCAACCTTCTTGGGAGAAAGTGATTTTGGTTATCCCGACCCTCTGACTTCACTGATCGTTTCTTAGCCATTTGGCAAGTGTTTGGTGTCTGGACACCTCTCTCTGGGTGTTTGTGGTGGACTGGGGTGAGAGGAGACTGCAGAGGGCACGGTCCTGCAAGTGGCCGGTCCCGGTCCCTGGGGGTGAGGTCGCCATGTCCACCAAGGTGCCCATCTATCTGAAGCGCGGCAGCCGCAAGGGCAAGAAGGAGAAGCTGCGGGACCTGCTGTCCTCGGACATGATCAGCCCGCCGCTGGGGGACTTCCGCCACACCATCCACATCGGCAGCGGAGGTGGCAACGACACGTTCGGTGACATCTCTTTCCTGCAGGGCAAGTTCCACCTCCTGCCAGGGACGGCGGTGGACGAGACCCAGGAGGACAGCGGCTTTGAGATGCCCTTCCAGTTCACGCGCACGGCTACGCTGTGCGGGCGGGAGCTCCCGGATGGGCCGTCCCCTCTGCTCAAGAACGCCATCTCCCTGCCGGTCATCGGTGGGCCCCAGGCCCTCACCCTGCCCGCCGCCCAGGCCCCACCCAAGCCCCCTCGCTTGCACCTGGAGACCCCGCAGCCCTCCCCGCAGGAGGCGGGGACTGTGGACGTGTGGAGAATCCCAGAGGCTGGCACTGCCCACAGCGGGCTGACCCCTGAGTCCGGAGCGGAGGAGCCCTTCCTGTCCCACGCCAGCTCCCTGCTGTCCCTGCACGTGGACCTGGGGCCTTCCATCCTGGACGACGTCCTCCAGATCATGGACCAAGACCTGGGCCACCTGCAGATCCCCACATAGGACCCGAGAGCGGCTAGTGGGGTGAATGCCGTGGAGGCAGGGGGTGGACACCAACCCTGGTCTAGGACTCGGGGTCCCCGGGTCCCACCTGTGTGGTTGCTGGCCAGTGATTTCTCACTTTGAGCCTTTGGCTCCCTCCCTCCCACCCCCTCCACGTGAACACAGTGGCCTCTTTGCTTCCCCCTAAGCCCCACAAGGACACGTGCCAACGTCAGCCTGAAGCGCCCCATGCGTCTCGGGCCACCTGGACCCCCACCACCAAATGCTCCTCAGACCCCTCAGACGAAGGCTTTGCTGAAATGGACTCCACATTTCACCCACCTCTAACTCAGCCTCGATGACACCCTGATGGGAGGGGGGCCGGGGAAGAGGCGGGGCACAGCCAACTGGACCTTTGGCTCCATGCTGTGGATTGGGAACGTGGTGTCAGTGACCGGTGTCCCTCCGCCCCACCCCTCCCACATGACCAGGGGATTCTAGTTGCAATAAAACTTGCTGCTCTGGTACTTGTGCTCCCGGTACTCTGTTTCAGGCCCCTCCTCAAGACAGGCCAGGCTCTAGGAGCTGGGGGCTCACTCACTCCAGCCCCAGAGGGCTTTATATGGTGGGATGGAGTTGGGGGAAGGCCTGCCTTCTGGAAGAAACTGTGTGGCATTCTGAGCCCATAGTGAGAGTGAAGCTGGAATAAACCAAGTGCCAACTGGGGATATTCTGATATTGATTAGGGTGTCTGATAAGGTAGCTGGAGTAGGCCAGGCACTGGGCCCAGGAGACAGGTCTATCAAGAGAGGCCCAAGAGCCAAGGAATAACCAGACCTAGTGCAAGGGCCCCGGAGAAGGCAATGGCACCCCACTCTAGTACTCTTGCCTGGAAAATCCCATAGATGGAGGAGCCTGGTGGGTTGCGGTCCATGGGGTCGCTAAGAGTCGGACACGACTGAGCGACTTCACTTTCACTTTTCACTTTCATGCACTGGAGAAGGAAATGGCAACCCACTCCAGTGTTCTTGCCTGGAAAATCCCAGGGACGGGGGAGCCTGGTGGGCTGCCATCTATGGTGTCGCACAGAGTCGGACACGACTGAAGCGACTTAGCAGCAGCAGTGCAAGGGACCAACAGCTCTTCTGGTGTCAGAGGACTGAGGGAGCACGCAGAAGGGCAGGCTAGACCTGGCACTGGGAGGGATCCAACTCATCTCATCAGTGCTTCTTCTTGGTCTACAGTGCATCGCATGTGCTCCAGGTGCTGGGGCACCAGAAGACATACAGACACGACCCCCTGCTCTCCTGGAGCTCATAGTCTAGTCGGGGGAAGGATAGCAAATCTGTTATCAAGGGCATTTTCAACAGTGTTGAACACTGTGAAAAAGACACCAAGATCATGAATACCTGGGGCAGGGTGGGGTGGTGTCACGATTCTGAGCCAAACCTGAGGGCAGACGGGCTTATGCTCATTCTTGAACAAAGGCACTGAGGCACCTGAGTGAATGAGAGAGAATCCAAAGCATGGTCAAAAGGGCCTAGGTCTCAAGTCCAACCTAGTCTTGTGAGAGTCAGTTTCCCCATCTCTAAAATGGGAATCAGTGACACCTGCCTTGCAGGGTTGCTGAGAAAATCAGGGGTAACATTTCTTTATTTGCAGATGGAAGGTATTCAAACATGGTTATGATGTATGACTTAAAGGAACTCGGGGCTCAGGAAAGACAGGACTGTGAAGCTGGAAAAACAGTTTCAGAGTCAGTTCAGAACTGTTCTACTTGCAAGACTGAAGCTGAGGCCATGGGAGCCACTGAAAGAGTTTAAGAAGGAGAGATACGTGGTCAGACCCAGGTTTTAGAAGGGTCACTACAGAGGCTGAGTGGGAGATGGACCACAGATTAGAGAGGAAAAAGCTGTTGCAGGAAGAGAAGTGGCCCCAAGTGGGGACTGAGAAAGAGGGTGCGGCTTGGTGTCTGGAGGCAAGCCAGTCACTGAGGAGGCCTCAGTGACCCCACTCTCTTCCCCTCTCTTCCATCCTTTTGACCCTACAAAACTGACTCCCACCTCACCTCCAGGCTTTCCTGCTTCTAGGCCAAGATTTCATACTAGAGGTAGAGGCAGAATTGGAGCAGGAGACATTTTTCTTGGTCATACTATCTTTTTAATTTTCAGTGATTTTTTAAAAACTGATAAAACATATATAACATTATATTTACCATTTCAATCATTTTTAAGCATATGGTTAAGTGGCATTAGATACATTCACATTATTCTGCAACCATCACCACTATCCATTTCCAGGACTTTTTTCCCAAAGTGAAACTCCATACCCATTAAACACTAACTCCCCATCCCCCCAACCCCAGCCACTGGCAGCCACCTTTCTACTCTGTCTCCATGACTTCGACTTCTCTAGGCACCTGACACAGGTGGAATCAGGGTATTTGTCTTTTTTGTGATTGCCTTATTTCACTTTGCATGGCAACTTCAAGGTTTATCCATGCTGTAGCAGGCACGGAAATTTCATTCTTTTTAAAAGCTGAGTAATATTCCATTGGGCTTTGCAGGTGGCACTAGTGGTAAAGAACCCACATGCCAATGCAAGAGAAATAAGAGACACAGATTCAATCCCTGGGTCAGGAAGATCTCCTGGAGAGGGAAATGGCAACCCACTCCAATATTCTTGCCTGGGAAATCCCATGGACAGAGGAGCCTGGTGGGCTACAGTCCACAGGGTCATAAAGAGTCAGACACAACTTAGCGACTTAGTACCCGATATTCCATTGCATATTCCACATTTTGTTTATCCATTTATCCAATCAATGGACACCTGGGTTGCTTCTACCCTTTGGCAATTGTTCTATTTGCCAATTTGGCTATAATGCTGCTATGAGCATGGGTGTACATATATCTGAATCTCTGTTTTCACTTCTTTGGGATGTGTACAGAAGTGAGATTGCTGAATCCTATGATTATTCTATATTTAATTTCTTAAGGAAGAGCCATTTTCCACTAGAGCTGCACCATTTTACATTCCCACCACCAGACTTTTTATTTTTAATCTGAAAGTTTTGCCATCATTTCGAGAATAGGAGTTGCAGCATCTGTAGTGGGATTTTGAACCCAGGTCTGTGAGGCCCCAAAGCCCGTACTTGATTGCAACCCTCTACTCCCACTGGTGCTCAGCTTTCAGGCCCTGGTAAAATATGAAGGCAGAGGGCGGGGAGCTGAAGGCCAGCACCGTCTTGCTTGCAGGCTCCCCCTCAGTTCTTGGGTAGCTTGGCCGCATCTGCCCAGGAGGGGAAGACAGGAAACATGACACCTTCCTTATAGCTTCACCCAGCCAGAAAACAGCCTGTCACCTTGGACCTGAGATGAGGATAAAGTGGCCATGGAAGGCGGACCTTCTTGTCCCAGGTCCTCGGAATTGCTCCCTACCTAACAGGCACAAAGAACTCTGGGAACCCACTCGGGGCTACCATGCCTGGGCGGAGAAAAGGAACTGGATGGGGAAACTGAAGCATCAGACTATCTAAACTTGGGACTAAGGTGGACAGAGGTGGAGTGAAGGAGCTTCCCCCTTCAGCTTGTATAGAGTTGTACATACTCCCTACAGATTCCACTCCCACAAAGGAGTGGCAAAGAGCTGGACATGGTGTAGCCACTGAACAACAGTAACAATGTACACCCACATATCTGCATCTAGATCTGCCAATTAGTACCATTTTTCCTAATTTGCTTTCCCTCTTTAAAAACTTTTTCCCAACCTTTTGAAAGTAAGTTACAGACATCACGACTTGTCAGTATTTATTTCTGTTAAGTCTTTCTTTAGCTTTCTTGGGCTTTATTTGTCTTCTTCAATGTGTGACTGGGTGTATTTCATCACTTTTGTAAAATTATTAATCATTTTCTCTTTAAATATTGCCTTTACACCTTTTCTTTCTCTTCACCTTCTGGGACTCCAATTAAATATATCTTAGATCTCTATATTTATCCTCTGTTTCTACTCTAATTCTGTATTTCCTGTCCATACGTCTTCCATGCTGTATTAAGGACATGATAGTATCTTCCTGCATATCATACAATTCAGTGGTCCCCAACCTCTGGGATCTAATGCCTAATGATCTGAGGTGGAGCTGATGTAAGAATAACAAAGTGCACAATAAATGTAATGCACTTGAATCATCCTGAAACCATCCTGCCCTCCTCCAGTCCATGGAAAACTTGTCTTCCACGAAATGGGTCCCTGGTGACAAAATGGTTGGGGACCACTCTGGTAGCACACTTGTTCTGTCTTCAGCCGTGTCTAATTTTCTTTTTAACCAATCTATGGTGTTCTTAATTTCGGTTATTGTATTTTTCAGTTGGAGGAGTTCGATGTGATTCTTTAAAAATTCTGTTGTGACACTTAACAGAAATTTGTCACCTGCAGATACTTTTACGCTTGTCTTTATCTTCTTTAAACTCAGTAAGCAGTGTTCTTTTATGGTCGGTATCAGATAATTCCAGCATCTGTAATCTCTGTAGGTCAATTTGTGCTTTCTATTGGGTGCAGTCAGTTCTTATGCAAAGTTCCTTGTTTTTTTCTGTGCCTGATTGTCTTTGACTACGTGCTGGATATTGTATAGGAAAAGCACTTTTAAGACATAATTTAAGGCCTTCGATGGCAGTACGCTCTTTCAAAAAGGATACTGCTTCATTTCAAACATGCTCAGTTCTACTAGGTGAGCAGAGGCATTATAAGGATGGGTCCACTTTAATCCAAATTCAAGGCTTGAGTTCCCAGGACTACTAGTCCATTGATGTTGGGATCACATCTTAAAGTATATATGTATTAGTAGTGGGGTATCTGACTTGGGGCATCTGACCTTGCGCAGGCTCTGAGTTTTGATTTTGACCCTCCCCACCAAAGACCACCAAATAAGAGCTCAGTTTCAGTTATATCTTCAAGATCAGTAAATGTCCCCAAGACAAAAACTGTCCTGAATTCTGGGCTTCAGCTCTGTGTTTCAACTTTCTAAATGTTGGAGCTGTAATTCTTCACTATATTATTAGCTTGTCAATGCTTTTAAGATTTTTTTCCTTTTTTTAAAAGACTTTTTCCTCTGTTTTTTATTTTCTTTTCAGTAGAAAGGTTGGAATTAAATATCCAACCAGGAGGCCTGTCTCCCATTAACTACCTGAATGTGATATTTAGAAAGATCTCCTGGGTTTTGTTTACATTTCTCTTTGTCCTCAATGGGTAACAGCAATCCTGTTTACCCTAAACAATTAGAATCAATCACCCCAGCCATCAATGATACTTCCTTTTTACTTTCTTGCCCAGTGACAGGTAGAACTCAAAACAGCCAATTGGCAATCTCAGATTCTGTTAATAATTCAGAGAAATTATTATTGTGCCCCCTGGTGGAAGCCTTCCTCCCTTGTGTCCTAAAGGCTCTGGATCAGCCAGAGCCCAGAGTGGCGAGAACAGAAAACAAACATTTTGCAAAAAGAACCATTAGCTGAGATTGCAAGACGCTGCACCCCCACTTCCACTTCTTGGTTCCTGTCTGTAAGAGAAACACTATATGTATCAGTCAGTGGTTCAGAGCATATAGAGGCTCTGTTGTTCAGTGATAAAGCATTTCTTAAAAGAATCCTAACAGAGAGACTTCCCTGGTAGTCCAATGGCTAAGACTACACTCCCAACGCAGGGAGGCCCAGGTTTGATCCCTACTCAAGGAACTAGATCCCACATGCCCCAACAAAGCGTCCACATGTCACAAGTAAAGATCCTACATGCTGCAACAAAGATCAGAGATCCTACGTATGGCAGCTAAGACCCAGCACAACCAAATAAATAAAAGAAAGAAAAAATCCTAAGACTCAAAAGCCACTGGTACTGGGCTCATAAACTGCCTTTCCAATAACAGAGAACTAAGCTAATTATCATCACTAATATCTTTTATTTAAAAACTTTTATTGAGACATACCTACAGAGAAGTGCACAAATCTTGGGTAGGTCAATGAATCTAAGTGAACAAACTTGTGTAACCCAGAAAAGCAATATTACTAGCACCCTGGTAGCCACCTTATGTCCCCTCCTTGTTATTATCTTCCAAAGTGAACCACTTTCCTGACTTCTGCCCCCATAGTTTAGCATGTGTGATTATTTAATTTGATATAAATGGAATCACACAATATGTCCTCTTTGGAAATTGGCTTCTTTTTTTCAAATATTAAGTTTTTGAGATTCATTCATGTTGTTGTGTAGCAATAGTTTGTTCTTTTCCATGTTGCTTAATCCACTCTAGTGCTATGGGCATTTGGAATGTTCTAGTTTGGGGCTAATACAATTAATACTGTTGTGAGCATTCTTATACATGGTTTTTCATATATGCATGCACGAACAGAATTGCTGGGTCAGAGGGTATGTGTGTGTTCAGCTTCAGTGCTTGCACACTGTCTTAGCTCAGGCTGTTGTTAACAAAGTACCATAGACAACAGATATTTATTTCTGACAATTCTGGAGGCTGGGAAATCCAAGATCAAGGTGCCAGCAAATTTGGTTCCTGATGGAATTCCACTTCCTGGCTTGTGGACATCTGCTTTCTTGCTGGGTCCTCACGTGGCCTTTCCTCATGGAGAGATCTCCAGCTTCCTCTTCTGGAAGGGCACCAATCCCACCATGAGAACTCCACCCTCAGACTGCATCTAAACTTAATTACCTCTGGAAGATCCCACCTCCAAATAATATCAGACTTAGTGGGTAGGACTTAAACCTATGAATTGGGGGGTGGGGGCTTCCCTGGTGGTTCAGACAGTAAAGAATCTGCCTGCAATGCACGAGACTGGGATTTGATCCCTGAGTTGGGAAGATCCCCTGGAGGAGGGAATGGCTACCCACTCCAGTGTCCTTGTCTGGAGAATTCCACCGGCAGAGGAACCAGATGGGCTACAGTCCATGGGGTCGCAGAGTCGAACACAACTGAGCAACTAACACTTCCACTTTTCACAAACATTCATGCTGAAACACATACTTTTGAATTCTTTTGGCGTCACCTTTGATTCCCAGAATCATCTGGGGAACAAGAGTGCAACAGTATTTTCACTAGGTTTTCCTTCCAAGCTGCTGACATCTATTCCGCAAATTTGGTGCAGGGTAAACAATGACAAATACCACTCAACTCTCACCTGCCAAACTTGATTTTAAGGCACAATGATGGTAAGATGTGTCCCGATTCTGAAATACTAAAAAGGGGGGGCGGGGCAGAGAATATGTGCATCTTAGAATTGATGAAATATGGCATATTACCAGGATGAAAGACCAAGCCCTGGGGACTCTGATGGGTCTAGGTAGATGTGAGGATAGAGAGCCAGCAAAAGAAGCTGAAGGAGCTGCCAGTGTGACAGGCAGACACCCAGGAGAGTGTGTGTCTCAGAGATGAGTTTGAAAAAGAAGTGAATGGCTACTGTTGTCATGGGGGTTGATAGGCTGATAAAGACAGGGAGATCTCTAAATCTGTTGAAATGGAGATCGTGGTGTCTTTGTTAGATGTTTCAATGAACTGATGAGAACAAAATCCCCATTAACAGAGAGACACTTGGAAATAAATCAACAGAGATAGTAAGTATAACAGAATATGTGCTCTGAAAGGGTGGAAAGAAAGAGGGTGATAAAGGCCAAAAGGGCTTAAGGAAGGGCTCTGATATTTTTTAAAGAGGATATTAAGCCATGTTTGCAGATGAATTTGCATGATTCAATAGTGAAGGAGAAGTGAATGGTACAGGAGAGGAAGCTGCAGGAGAGAAGTTCTTCAGAGAAGGAAAAGAGCTTAGGGGTAGGAAGCAGGGGAGAAGAGGTGGGGATCAATTAAGTTGGTGGCAGGAAGGTGGGGGAACTTTTGTCAGACCCCAATATTCGGGCTAAAGATTTGCCAGATTCTTGGAGTTAATATTTCTCTCCCTAAAATGGGCAGCCCAAGAGGAGTGTGCACTGCTCTTACCTTCGGCTACCCACCAAACCCTAGTCTGTACGTGAGGGCAAAGGGCTATTAACCATGAGGTTAAAGGTCGGCGAGGTAACAGGACGCATGACCTCCATCTAGACCACCTCTGGGCTTGCCAGTTCTCACCAACCTCTCACCTTCTCATTTCTGGACCTGGTCACATCCTCCCTCCCTTCTCGCTTCTCACTAAACGGATGAGGCAAAATAGGAGCAGAAGCCTCGGGGCGCGCGCCCGCCTCTATTGCGCCTGCGCATTCGTCCCCGGGTTTCCAGGCCGGGGAGAACCGGCCAGAAGCTCCTTCTCCGTCGTTCGCTCTCGGGCGCACGCGCCCGGGTGGCGCTTGCGCAGAAGGACAAGGAAATTGGTTCCCTCTGCGGTCCCAGCGCCTGCGCGCTGCGGGCTCTGGGCCTCCCGGCCTGAGGGAGAGGAGCCGGGAAGATGGCGGCTGTGGTGGAAAATGTAGTGAAGCTGTGAGTGGCCGTTTCTTTCTCTTCTAGGTTGGGAGGTCTTGTAAGGGACCTGGAAGCAGGGGGCGGTGTAGGAACGGACGAGGCGGAGAGAGGGACGTGCCCGGAGAGGCCGTGTTGCGACTCCTAGAGGGGAGGGCAACAGGAGACTCGGGAGAAGACGTTGCGCTTCTTTAGAAACTTGTGGAGGCCCTGAGGGGGGCACACGGGAGCCCCTAACGGGCAGCCTCCCTGTGGGGTGGGCGCTCCTTTAGGCGGAAGGTTTCCAGAATATGGCCCCCTTGTTGCGTACGAGAGACGGTCCCGGGTGCGCTTCAGTCCGGGGGAGCCGAGCCGACCCCCGCGAAGCCCGGCCGCCGACCCCTCCTCATAGGCTGCCCGCAGCGGGCCCCGGAGGAGCAGGCTCGGCCGCCCTGGCGCCGTTAAGCGCTCAGGGCTGTTTTGTTCTGAACAGCCCCGTGACGTTCCTGGGCGGGCGGGGGCGGGGGTGGGGTGGTCCTTGAGTATCAGGTACCCGAGACCAAAAATATTCCTGGGAAGAATTTGTGGAGGAGCAGATACAGAGGGAAAGAACTTCAGGGAAGAGGGGCTTGGCGCCGGCCAGTCCCAACCATCAGAAAGCGGGCACTGGACGGACGCAGTCCAGTATGCCCTGGCCGTCCCGAGGGGCATCTAGGTCGGCCGTCTTCGCTTTGCAATACTCTTGGACTGGGCAGATTTCAAGCGAAGTTAAAGTTCATGGTGGTTTGGCAAACTGAGAACGGCCTGTTAGCTGTGAGTTAAAGATGCTTTGGGACTTGATTTAACCCAGCCTCCTCCCCGAAGAAGAATCTAAATGAGTTTTGCAATGGGTTCTTGCCCCCCACCCCCGTCGGCCAATAGTAAGCTCTTTAATGGACACATTTGACTTGGTGCAGGGGTAGGAAAAATGAGGTGTCCAGTTGTCCAGCTTGGCTTTTGGATTTTGACTGGGTGAGAAGGTAAAGGTTTGGGAACTGTTCTAAGGGGCACACAGCTTCTCATCTGTCTTTGTAGTAGACTGAGCCCCACTCTTCACAAGAGCATTTTTTCTAAGGGTACATTGCTTCTCTCCCTCCCCCTGCCTGGAGCCTTTTCTTTGAGAATGCTTTCCCACTTCCATTAAGCTAAGTGCTTTCTCCTTGTGGGTTTTTTGGTTGTGTTTTTTTTTTTTTTTCTAACATGCTTTCAGCTCCATCCTGCTGCCTCTTTCAGCCACCCCTCCTCCCAACACTATTATCTTCCTCTCTGATCTGCCCACTTCAGTTTCCCCAGCTCTCTCTCCAAGCTGACATTTCCCTCAATTTAGAAATGACGCTGCTGATCTACCATTTATATGTTATCCACACTGACTCAGATGTTCTTTCTTTGTTTCCCTGCCTTTCTCTTTGTTGACTGCCCCTGTCCCATTGTAAAGGGAGGTTTTACACAGGTCTCATGCCTCTCGAAAAAGAATCAAAGCTTCTACCTTGGAAAGCTTACTGTAATGGGGGAATGTCAAAACTTGCCTAGGTTTAAGTTTTACGTAGTGAGATTGTTTATGTTGGAAGACTTTCATCTGGGAAATAAGGTCACCAACCCTTTTATGCAATATTGGAAGTGAGGGGTTGCAGGTTTAAATAGAACTTGTTTCTCTTTAAAGGTCTGTAGAGATAGTGAGGGTCACCAACTCCTGATTGCTGGGTACCAGTAATAAATAACCAACTTTCTGCTCCTCGTTCTACCTGTAAAGAGCTGTGGACCACAGTAATACATTTGCCTACAGAACCTGCTCTTTAAAAAGAGGTTTCCAGTCTTCCTGTACCTTTCTCGTCCTGGAAAGAGATGCTTTTCTTGACCACGGTGTGCCTAGTCTTCTGACTGCTGAGGTTTTACATTGAGGTCAGGACTGCTAGCTCATCTTTTCTGACTTGCATCTTGTTCTGGGAGAAGAATTTTCCTATTTGTAAATTCTCTGTCCCTCCCAAATGTGGTGTCAGAATTGAAACAGTCTTTAACGGATCTTACCAGGGCAAAATAATAGTATAAAAGAGCTGTGGTTGCTGACTGGTTTTGAAATCCTCTGAGTTAGGTAACAAGATCTGAAGAATGATGTTAGCTTAAAATTTCTTGCAGTAGGAGCCTTAGATTCTTAAGAGAGCTCTCATTCTTCCTTGCTTTATTCTCATCAGATCCTCTCTTCCTCCAACTTGTATTTCGTTATCAGCTCTCTCACTCACAATGCAGTTTGCCCCACCTTCTGAAATCCCATTTAACTCACAGGAGCTTTGATAGAACACCTCTCTCTCATCCATATCTCAACCCCCCCCCCGCCCCCCCACACACACAGTTTCCAGCCTCCTTGCTCTGACTTTGCAGCTCTCAGCCTGTCTAGCCCTTCCTTCCATCTGACTTACAGTGTCAGTATCAATTTCCATCAGCAGAAACAAAGGCTCTGCCGCACTTAGCCTTGTTTATCCAATTTTCCTCTGTTTAGTGAGGACGTGGCTGCCTCCTAAAGGCGAGCAAATATGAGCCTATTCCTTCTCTTTACTTTCCAGCACAGGCTTCGTGCCTACCTCAAATTACAGTCATTACAGCACATTGACTCAAGCCAGACTGTCTTGTGGTGTCACTGCCTGCGTGCAGTGTGTGTCTTTGTCGGTTGTTGGGAATGTTCTAAGCTGTGCCTCAGTGGTCTATTGTGGCTGCCCCATGAAAGCTGCTCTTAGATTCCAGAGCAGGGTTTGTTGCTGCAGGTTGAGTTATGAACATAAGCAACAGAGATTTGCTGTGTTCAACTTCTCATGTTTGGAGTCTCCCTCTTGTAGAATATGTCAGAGCTTATCTAGTTCAGCCTCCCTAGTCAGTAGGCACCCCACTCCAGTATTCTTGCCTGGAAAATCCCATGGATGGAGGAGCCTGGTGGGCTGCAGTCCATGGCAGCGCTACGAGTCAGACACGACTGAGCAACTTCACTTTCACTTTTCACTTTCACGCATTGGAGAAGGAAATGGCAGCCCACTCCAGTGTTCTTGCCTGGAGAATCCCAGGGACGGGAAAGCCTGATGGGCTGCTGTCTATGGGGTCTCACAGAGTCGGACACGACTGAAGCGACTTAGCAGCAGCAGCAGCAGTCAGTAGCATACCTGAGGTCCATGTGGGTTGACTAAATGTCCACATTTATGTGGTGACTTGCAGCCAAGCCAGGTCTTTTTACTTCTGAGTCAGGATATTCCAGACACCTTCATGGGTGCTGAGGATCTTGTGGGAAAGAAATCTGCCCTCAGTTTGTTTACTTTAAGATCAATCAAGGGGAATTCCCTGGTGGTCCAGTGGTTAGGACTCGGCGCTTTCACTGCTAAGGGCATAGGTTCAATCCCTGGTTGGCAGACTTTAAGATCCTTCAAGCCACATAGTGCGAGGAAGGAAAAAGTTTGCTCAAAAATATAAATGTGAATTGAATTAGTTTAAGCTCTGGTATTACTGTGCTTGTTAAACCCTGAAGGATGAGGACAAGGTTGGTTCTATATAGATGCTTCTTAGAACCAGATAACTCCTGGCATGGTGCAGTTTTATGGCTTTTTAAAGCGCTTAAAAAATTCACAGATTTCAGAGTAAGTCTTTTGAGTTCAAAAGGTTTTCTTTAAAAAAATTGATGGTGTGAGAATGGAGAAGGGTCTAGAAAAGGCCTTTGTGCAAATAGGTTTTCTATCAGTGTAATGGTACTCAGTAGAAAGTAGGCTTCAAGGGTGTTTACATATTTCCAAATGTTTTCTATTGGTTGTAAAGTTAGTATATAGAATTAGCTACTTTGCAAATACCTAGTTTAAAACTCAAAAGATATAGAATAGCACAAAGGAGAAAGTCCCCTAGTCACCTGGTTTTTCTCTTGGATGCCTACAGTTTCTCTTCCACCACTTAGGGACATAAAAGGTAGCATCTCATAACACTCCTCAGCCCTGTACCCCCTTTTTTTTTTTTGAGTTATCTTAGAGATTGTTTAATATTTATACATGAAGAGCTTCCTTTTTTTTTAATAGCTAAGTTGAATTTCTTTTTATGGATGGAGTTTGCTAAACTTTAGTAAGTCCCCCCAGATCTTTTGAACTCTTTGTAAACAGGAGTAACTTCAGCTTCTCAGAATCCTGAGGGGTAAGAGAAGTAGCACTTTGGTTACCAAAGGGTTGGATTCATGAGCGGCACAGAACAAACATTATTTTCTTCCCCTCTTTGTGGGTTAAACTAAGGACTGTTTAGACAACAGGGTGCAATCATGCGCTCTGACAGTAATTTATTTGTAAGGTACTTTTCCTCATAATGGCCTAGTGAAGGGGTTTGGTGTCCCATGAGGCAGAAATGGAAGCAAATAAAAGCAGAGTAACATTCTCCCAGTCCCTTGAGCCTTCTAGAGAAGCAGATGGCAAGGGAAAGGGATAGCCCAGCAGATAAACACACACGTGTGCAGTCACACCTGAGTTTTGTCTTTTCTGCAGGCTTGGGGAGCAGTATTATAAAGATGCCATGGAGCAGTGCCACAATTACAATGCCCGCCTCTGTGCTGAGCGCAGTGTACGCCTGCCTTTCTTGGACTCACAGACGGGAGTAGCCCAGAGTAACTGTTATATTTGGATGGAAAAGCGACATCGGGGTCCAGGTGAGAATCCACTCAGGAGCCCAGGGAGGGAGCAGCTTCCTCATCTTAGGTGATGAGCCAGCTGAATGGGTTTTCCCTGTTGCTTTCCACCCAGGGATGCATACGCTCTTCCCGTGATTAGAAACCTGGAGAGGTTGAAACACCTTTTGTTTTCCCAGGGCTACACTGCTCAGGGTCTTGCTGGGCTCTGGAGAGCTATGTGTTAGCCAAGGCCCCTGAGCTTACATCTGTTTTCTTGTCCATAAGCCATGCCTCCTCCAACCCCAGGTGCTCACCATCCATATTCCTCCCTTGCTCTAGAATGCTACTCATGTAGAAAGTGTTTGATACTATTTTCTAGGGCTGTGTTAGGGTTTGATTTCTCTCTTTTCCTTCCTTCCTTAGGATTGGCCTCTGGGCAGCTGTACTCTTACCCTGCCCGGCGCTGGCGGAAAAAGCGGCGAGCCCACCCTCCTGAGGATCCAAGACTTTCTTTCCCATCTATTAAACCAGGTAAAGCACAGTCCTCCCTGAGCGGATATACCCTTCTGCATAGTCAGAGGCCTGCTAATCACCTGTTACATACCAGGCCCAGTGCTAGATTCTAAAGATACCAAAATGAATGAGATGTGAGTCTCTCTGTAAAGAATTCAGTCTAATAGTTAAGAGACAAGTAAACAGATAAGTTATGGTGCCAAGTAAACCAAAGCATCTTGGTTCCTGGGCAGCCAGAGACCAGAAGACAGTGACTGGCTTGTGATTGGTCTGACACTGTGTAGACCAGGCAGGTCTGTGTTCAGCCCTTCTGAGCCGCACCTCCTCCTGACCTTGCCCACAGACACAGACCAGACCCTGAAGAAGGAGGGGCTGATCTCTCAGGACGGCAGTAGTTTAGAGGCTCTGTTACGCACCGACCCCCTGGAGAAGCGAGGCGCCCCCGATCCCCGAGTTGATGATGACAGCCTGGGCGAGTTTCCTGTAACGAACAGTCGAGCACGGAAGGTACACAATTAACACTGTGGTTAAGGAAACTGTGGAGGAAACCAGTCTCCTCTTCATCAGAGGCCACCCAGTAATCAGAATAGCAGCAGAAGCTATGGGCCATGGGGGGACCCTGCTCTTCTGTTCCTGCCCCATTCCTTAATGAGTGCTGGGTACTGACTGGCTTCCTTGTTACCATCCTGTCTTTCCTGTTCATTTTCTCGTAACTATAGACTCTCATCTTATGTTGCCACCAGAGTTTTTTTAGTGCCTGGGGTTACATAGGTGATGTCCCTGCCAACAAGGAAGCGAAAACTGTACATAAAAATATGTCAGGCACTATGCTAAGTGCTTTTCTATCATTTTCTGCAGTCTCTACAATCTTAAGAAATAGGTACCATTGCCCATTTCACATACGTGGGAGCTGCACCACATTAGTGAAAAGAAAAACTTGCCACAAGTAAGCAGCAAAGCTCCAGTTTAACTCTAGGAAGTTAGGTGTTGGAAGGGAACCGCTGCTGACATGCTCCCAGGTGGCAGATCAGAGGCAGGAGAGGGCATGCTACTTGGGGCATCAGGGAAAGTTTTATGAAAACATGGCGTTTGATTTAGCTACTTGGAGATGGTGAGAAAGGCATTCCAGGCTAGGGGAACAACATGAAGAAAGGCCCAGAGAAAGGAGAGCCCAAAGCCTTGAAAGAACAGCAGTGAGGAGTGAAGCTGGAGTGGAGCCGCTGGGTCACGGAGGCGGCTCTGGCAGCCTTGGCCAGTCCCATCATGGGGGAGCTGTTGGATGTTCTCATTTCTGCCCATCCTAATCCTCCTGTCTACTCAGCGGATCCTAGAACCAGATGACTTCCTGGATGACCTTGACGATGAGGACTATGAAGAAGATACTCCCAAACGTCGGGGCAAGGGGAAGTCCAAGGTGAGGGACAGCCCGGGGGGTTGGGGAGCCTGCAGAATCCCACTGTCTTACTGCTTCTCGTTGCTGTCATCCTTCCTGAATGAGATTAGCAGCCACTACCAGGAGAGTAACTCTTCAGGCCTAGACACCTTAGTAAGGGCATCTTTTTGCTCTTCTTTGCAGAGTAAAGGTGTGGGCAGTGCCCGTAAGAAGCTGGACGCTTCCATCCTGGAGGATCGGGACAAACCCTATGCCTGTGACAGTGAGTGCCTCACGAGTGGGTGGGTAGTCCTTGCCTTGGACCCAGCTCCTCAGGATATGAGAGGAGGGAAAGTTGTATTCTTGCTGAAAGTGGTAAAACAAGCTTGGACTCTTGTCCTGCCTGCTGACTGGTTCCCTCTGAGATCCCTGAGAGGCCCTGGCCTCTGCTGCACGATGGGTGAGCCTTGCATGCTCTGGGGGAGATTTCTGCTGTCCTCTGGGGTGGGGGTGCCCATGAGGGACACACAGCAGGCAAAGTTGGCCTCTCAGTAGATGACATCTGGGCTTGCTGGCCCCAATCAAGTCAGGCCCCAGGAGTCCAACGCTGACTTTTCCAACGTCTGTTCCCTCTTCCCCTTTTCTCTGACTCACCCCACTTCTGTCCCTCCACCCTGGGAGCACCGTCACCGCTGGGGTTTCTCTCTCGTTTGCTCTGCTTTCCTGCTGCTGCCGTACCTGTCTTAAGTGTACCAAGGCCCTCTTCTCATGACTTTTCTTTCTGTCTTTCAGATAGTTTCAAACAAAAGCATACCTCGAAAGCGCCCCAGAGAGGTAGCTCTCTCAACTTCTCAGACTTTTGGTTTTCCTATCCCTTTTTCCCTTCTCCCTTTGTTCCTGCCTTTCTCATCTGTGATGCTAGTGTTAAGGTCCCTGGAATGGCATGGAGATAGGAGCCCTGGGCCTTCTGTTGCGGTCCACTCCTCACAGTCCTGGAAGCTGCTGCTACCTGCTTGTCTCCACCACGTTGCTCTAGGGCTGCTTGGGCCCACTGCATGGGGTGGCTTCAGAAGCATTCTGAGGGACCCGTTATCCCAGATCCCTCTGCTTCCGCTTCCCCAAAACAGACATGTGGTGGTCAGCTAACGTTCCCCATCATCCCGCCACCCTTCCCATCCCTTCCCCATTCCTTTCCTGCCACCCCCCTATTCTTGGTGTCACTGCTCAAAGGTACAGGGTGCCTCCTGGAGATCTGCTCTCCTTGCTGGTTGAGGGGTCGTTGGTTGGACAGAGCACTGATGTGGGCATGTCTTTGAGTTTCTCTGGGGGACAGCTACCCCAGCAGACTCAGATGATAGATTTTCCCCGAGAGATCCACCCCTACTTCTTTATTTGGGCAGAGGTGGGCTGTGTTGTATATAGGGAGTAGCATGAGCCTACATTTACTGAAAGGTAAAAAAGTTTAGAGTCTTAGCTTTCCTCCTGCCTGCCATTATTGCAAAACTATAGAAGGTCCCTTTCCTTCCTGACCTGGACCTCCCCAGACTGTTCCCAGGGCAGGCAGAAGGTAAGGGCTCAGTCTCCCAGACAGCTTGAGTGGAGGAGTAGAGATGGCTGTGCTCTGGGCTTTAGTAAGCGGAGGCGCCATGGAAGCTTGGGAGCACCTGGGCTTGATGTTCCTGGCCACGGGGAGGGGCTCCCAGTAAAGGTCTGTCCCGAGCAGAGCTGATGGGGGTGGCTACCTCTGCTCAGGTGGAGCCTACAGCTTAGAGGGGCAGGGGTGAGGTACCCTCAGATCCTAACACCTTTCTCTGCAATCTTCTCCCCACTCAGTTTGTGGAAAACGTTACAAGAACCGACCAGGCCTCAGTTACCACTATGCCCACTCCCACTTGGCTGAGGAGGAGGGCGAGGACAAAGAAGACTCACAGCCACCCACCCCAGTTTCCCAGAGGTCCGAGGAGCAGAAATGTAAGCTGGTGTCAGGTGGGGCAAGCAGGAGTCAGCCTGGCTGTGAAAAACCCTCCTCGCAGGCATGTCAAGAGACCCAGAGGCCCACGTGGGTATCATCTGAGTTTTTCCCTTTCCGTTATAGCCAAGAAGGGTCCTGATGGATTGGCCCTGCCCAACAACTACTGTGACTTCTGCCTGGGGGACTCCAAGATCAACAAGAAGACAGGACAGCCCGAGGAGCTGGTGTCCTGTTCTGACTGTGGCCGCTCAGGTATCTCCAACCCAGGGCCAGTGCAGCCCCTGCCGGCACCCAGACCCTGAGGGGCCCATGGCTCACCAGCATCCAGTGGCTCTCATAGCCAGGTCACCCCACTGCTCCCAGTCTTCAGCTCCCTGATTCACTCGCTCTCCTCCACAGGGCATCCGTCCTGCCTCCAGTTCACCCCCGTGATGATGGCAGCAGTGAAGACCTACCGCTGGCAGTGCATCGAGTGCAAGTGCTGCAACATCTGTGGCACCTCCGAGAATGACGTGCGTGTCCCCCCCACCCCCACCCCAGCACACTCCTGCTCAGCTTTTCCCGTCCTTTCCACCAGTAGGAACTTTGATTTGTTTGGCAGGTGTTCACGGAGTATCTACTTTGTGTCAGACCCTGTTCTAGGCACTAAGGACGCTGAAGACAACAACGTCCCTACTTTCATGGGCTTTACACTCTTGTGTGAACAAGCAATTAGCAAGGAAATGAGTGACATCTTTATGATGTTCCATGCAGAGAATGAAACCAGTATTTTGGTTAACTGTTAGAGTAAGTGAATAACTGATTTAGATAGCAAGGTCTTTTCTGAGGCTGTTGGGGTCCCAGTGGGATGACTGACTTTCTGGGTGGAGCGGGACAGCAGTGGTTTTTTAGCCAGAGGGTCCCACATCTGTTCTTCCTGCCATCTGCCCCCACCCCTCTTGGAAGAACCCTCCTAACCCATTCAGCGGCCCAGGCAAGGGGAGTCATTCACCTCCCCCTTCCTCTTCCATCTCACGTCCTCTAGGATCAGCTGCTCTTCTGTGATGACTGCGATCGTGGCTACCACATGTATTGTCTAACCCCGTCCATGTCTGAGCCTCCTGAAGGTAGGTTTCCCTGTACTCTTACTTAGAACAAGTAGTCATTAGTGACTTGGAAAATCACTTATACAGTGCGTGTATTCCTGTTATCAGTGATGCGGTCTTCCAGGTGAGGGAGTAGGCTCCTAGCCTTCACTCAGTTCAGAGTGCTTTACGAGCATTGCAACTTCTAGGGTTTAACATTCTTACATCATCACCAGATAACATGTACAGCCACAGAAAATGGACAGCCTGAAAGAAAACAGATGCTGAGCAGAAAATAATTACCAGAAGGGGAGATCTGTTATCCTTCAACCAGCCTACAAAACTCAGTCACAGTTTGTCCAGTGAGGGACTTTGGTTTCACCACTCCATGCCTGACAGATTTGAGTGTTCATTTCCACCAGTTGGGAGAGGGAGCTGAACCTGGAACCTGAACCGTTTGCTCCGGCCCTCCAGCAGTGCTTAATAAGATCCTCAAATTTATGGAAGGTCTTCGATGAAACCAGTGGGGACACCAAAAAGTGGCTGCCTCTCCACAAGTCCTCTTCTCACCAGATTTCTGTGCTGAAGTCCCTCCTTTATAGAAATTCAGAAGCTTACTCAGGAGTACATAAAGCCCAGGAGCTGTTCCTGTGACAGAGGATGTGGGCCAGCATAATAGGAGAGAGAAAGTAGCTCACTGTCTGATGTGAGCTGACTTGCAGTGTAGGTCAGATTGCTGTCACCTCCTAGAGGAGGATGTCACAAAGTCTGAGGGTCCTTTAACAGCTGCAGAGAAGCACTCACTCGATCTTTCATCTGTCACACCACATTTATTTGTTTTATCTGTCAGGCAACATTTAGGGAGAAGTAGCATGTTTGGTGGAGAAGGAAATGGCAACCCACTCCAGTGTTTTTGCCTGGGGAATCCCAGGGATGGGGGAGCCTGGTGGGCTGCTGTCTATGGGATCACACAGAGTCGGACACGACTGAAGTGAGTTAGCATCAGCAGCAACATGTTTGGTATTTTTTTTTTTTAACCATAAAATACCAATTCATAGGCACAATTCTGCATTAACTGTAGAAAGGCTTTTCTGTGGAAGTGCTGTCAGACACTGAGGTAGTAGAGAGTTGCAGGCAGCTGGGGATTACCCGGTAGAACCATCAAATGGTCCAGCCTCTAGGTCAGGAATTCCAAACTATGACCCCAGGCCAAACCGAGCTGAACCTAGTATATATAACTCACAAACTAAAAAGTATTTTTACATTTTTAAACAGAGTTTAAAAAAAAAAAAGACTGAAACTATGTGGCTTACAAAACCTAAGGTAGTTAACACTGTCTGGCAGTTTACAGAAAAATTTTTATCAACTGCTATATATTGACCATTGGGTTAGAAAGGACCTTAGCTTTTTGAGAGTCACCTGTGAAGAGCTGACAAAAGCTATGGATTCTTTCCCTCAGAATGATGTTGAAATACACATATGTACAACTGTGTTTATAGTTTTGAGGCATTAAGGGCTAATTTTGTTTCTCCAAGAAAAAAGGCATAGAAGAATTTAGTTGTAGCAAGTATTAATAAATGAGGTATCAACCAGTTATTTTTCTTATAAGGATTATTATTTCCTGTTTGTTTGTTTTTTTATGAAACCAGACTTGGGTCACAGTAAGTTGCATCATCATAGCTGGCCCCCTTTTCCTCTCATGGGTCCTCAGCCTCTGCTCAGACACCTGGTGATGATGGAGAGCCCTTCTCTTCTGTCTGTGGGCTTTGCAGAAAACTCTACTGTGAAATCAGTATTGGTTTCTCTAGACCCTCTATTCATGATTTTTATTCTGGCCTTTGGGGCCATGAGAACAAAGTCTGGCTCTTCTGTAATCACAAGTTTAAAGCTCAGTTGCTTTAAAAAAGTTTTATGTCTCCCCAGGTCCTATTTAGTGATTATAATTTATTAGGCCCAGAGGTCTTGGGAATCTGTATTCTAAAATAGGCCTCTATGGAGAAGGAAATGGCAACCCACTCCAGTATTCTTGCCTAGAAAATCCCATGGGCAGAGGAGCCTAGTGGGCTACAGTCCATTGGGGATACAGTTTAGCAACTAAACAACGACAATAACAGGAACTGTGGAACAGCTACAACAAAGATGAGTATTTTATTTTAAATCTCTTATAAGGTAAAATTTCAACTGTACAGTATTCCCCACAAGTCAACTAACTTATATAAGATTCACATATTTCCCATTCTATAAAAATGAAATTTCGTGTCTTGATGTCTCTCTTGAGGGTACTGTCAGAACTGCCTGAAAATGGAAACAGCTATTATTTGGATAAAAGAGAGTTAAAAAAAAAAAAAATAGGCCTCCAGGTAATTCTTTCTTTCATCTCCATTGAGAATTATTTTTCATGCTGTTTGAAGACCTAGAGTTTGTCCCTGCTCAAGATAACTGTGAAACTTTGCTACTGCAGCACATCTCCAGTCCTACCCGTAGCCAGTCCTGCCACGAGGTGAGGGGTGGCGGTCGAAGGACAGCAGGTGAGGATTGTGTGGGGCCCTCCTAACCCTTTATGCTTCTCTGCAGGAAGTTGGAGCTGCCACTTGTGTCTGGACCTGTTGAAGGAAAAAGCTTCCATCTACCAGAATCAGAACTCCTCTTGATGTGGCCACCCCCGACCCCTCATACATCTAGGGCTGTTCTCTCCTCCTCTCTGTTTTTCATACCCACTTTCCCTTCCCCCTCTTTCTCAAGTCCAGAGAATCGCAGGGTGGTCATGCCAACCTGCCTTTGGCAGCAGCAAGCTGAGGTGGTAGCTCTGACCACCTCTGGCCCCAGGCCCTCAGGGAGAAGGGAGCAGCACACTGCTCCAGGGCATAGCTGTGGGCCCAGCTTCTCCCTGCTCTCCCTTAAGTGCATTCACTCTGTCTGCCTTGGGCCGAGGCCCTGGTGATCACAGGGTTCAAACCTCCGAGAAAGAGTGGGAGAGCAGCTCACTTCTCTCAGCTCGGCCTCCACTCTAGCCCCAGGGTTTTCCCTTCCTGTGAAGGTGAGTCAAGACTGGGGCCTATGCCAGAGCAGCTGGGAGCGAGAACTGAGCAAGCTGGCAAGCAGCTGCCCATGCCCTCGTGCTGCTTAGCCTCACCGCCTCCTTCCCCGAGTGGCTTTCTGCGGCCCTCTGTTCCTGCAACCCAGGATCCTTTACCTGAGCCAGGACGCTCTTGGTCCTGGTCCTGGCTCTACCCCGTTCCCATTGACCTGCCCCAGGGGGAGTAGCAGCCTCACCCTGATGTTCCTTGTGCTTGCCTGTTTCATTCTCACAGGCCCTGGTCTCTAGTGACTGAAGCATTCCCCACCCTTGTTATTTTCTGTCTTCTGCCCCGCCCCGCTCCTTATTCCCTTTGGTTTTGTGGGGAGAGGGGAAGCATCACGGGGCCAGGCCAGAAGCTTGGGGGCCACTGGGAGATATTGGATAATGTGCCTGTTTTTTAACTCGATGAAAAAGCCTACCTCCGAAATCCCCTTTTCGTTCTTCCTGGACCTGGGCATTCAGCTCCTGCCCTTAACTGAATTGGGAGCCTTTGCCGCCTGCTCTGTGTATCCTGTCTCCTGGGTCGTGGGGAAGCCACCTAGACATCTCTTTCTTCCCTCGCACACTTGCTAGCAGCTGGTAAGGTCTTCACACCCTGATTCTTTAATTTTCTGCCTGGTGACACTTTTAAGTAACAGGGGGAACTGTTCATCCCAGGACAGCCTGGAATGTCCTTCCCCTTGGCTGTGGGCAGGCCCTAATTCACTGTCACTTTGGAGTTGAGGTGTCTTTTTTTTCTTTCTTTCCTTAGTTCCTATATTCTAAGCATTAGTACAAATAAACATTTTTACACAGAGCCTTCTGGTTTCTTTTATCTCCAGATCTCCTTTCCTGCTTAAGGCCACTTTATCCTAAAACTTCTTCCTTAGTACAGTGGTTTTTAAATGTTTTGAAGCATAGCTTTTCACCCAACCTAAAATTTTTGCTTAACCTTAGTAGATTAAGTTGATACAAAATTGGGTACTTTGTTTTAATCTTTATGTAAATTAAGTTATGACAATATAAAGAAAAATGAAGTTGTTTTGATTAATACAAAATTTGGGGGCACTCCTGGTGGCTCAGTGGTAAAGAATCCACCTGCCATTACAGGAGAAACAGGTTCAGTCCCTGGTCTGGGAAGATTCAATGTGCCTTGGAGCAACTAACCCTAATCCGGGGGCTACAACTATTTAAGCCTGTGCACTAGAGGCTGGGAGCCACAACTACTGAGGCCCACACCCTAGAGCCCGTACTCCCCAGCAAGAGAAGCCACTGCAGTGAAAAGCCAGAGCATTGCAACCAGAGGAAAGCCTGTGTAGCAACGAAGACACAGTGCAGGCAAAAATAATTTTTAAAATTGCAGTTAAAAATAACTAGAATCCTGTTTGTTTCTGTATTTTTGTGTTTTGGGGGGAAAGTCTTCTGGATTTCTACTTGCAAATAATGACAGCTTTATAACAGTTGACCTTGCAATTTAAGATACTTTAAAAAAGGTCCAGAAGCTTGATTGTTGTATAAATAGAATGACAGGAAAACTCATGACATCATGGTGAGACACGACTTTTTGCATAAGCCATGAACATGAGAGACCCCAACCTTGCTTGCCTGGCATTCATTCATTTAATTGAATGCAGTGTGAGCGAGCCCACAATGCAGTGTTACAGCCTTTCTCCAGACAGATTTATGAGCAGAAAAATGAATTTCCTTTTCCTGCCAACATATGAAGGTATGAATCAGTTATGAAGCCCCTGAAATATGCTTAGGGTTTTCTGGGACAGCCTGAAAGCTGCGTGTTTCCTCCCGGAAGGCAGTGAGTGGCCTGGGCCCCTGTGCTCCGTTAAGTAAGCCAGGTGCTCCAGTTTGGAATTGTGTTAGGCACACAGCACAGCCCCCATCCTCAAGTCTATACCTGGAAGTAGGCCTGGAGCAGAGGGAGTAAAGCAGTGAAATGATCTTGCTGGTTGAGTAGTCTAAGGCCAGATAAGATGGTTAAAAGAAAGTGTAGAAGATGAGAATGCTGATGAGAACCCTGTAATATTGAGAGATTTGGAAAGGTTGCTGAAAGAGGATTTAGGATGGGACATAGAAGGATGGAAGAGGGATCAGGGTTGGGATGGGAAGGAAAGCCTGTGAGAAAGGGGACTCACCTGTGGCCCCAGCCTTCCAAGTGACTGTGAAGGGAGAGGAAAGCAGGCTAGAGCTGAGGATTCGGCATTCTAGACCCCACGTTAAAAAGTCTTTATTGGACTTCAAAGAACTGAAGTCTAGCAAAGGAAGGAATACTACTAAATCTTGACTTTAGGAACTTGAGTCTTGCCAAAAGTTTCCAAAACTAAATAAAAATTAATCTCCACATGCCCTAAATCAGAACTAGCTCCAAGCAAGTAGTCTTAAAGGAGGAGAAAGAACAGGCTCCATCTTGAAAGCAGAACTCCATCTTGGGCCATACTGTGGACTTTGAGTGATAGGCTCAGTGTCTATAGAAACGATATACCAACTGGAAAACCAGAAACCTGGATGGAAGGGCCCCAGGGCTGGTACCTAGACTCTCCGTCACCTGAAAGAATACCCTGATTATCTATCTAACCCAATAGAATCGTAAATTCTGTTATGCTTATTGGGGTATGACCACAGGCCTATTGATAATTGTCCACTGTTAACTACCTAGGCTTAAGGCATGTGAATCACGGGTTAAGTTTGACTGTGTCTTTTCCTTTGTTCAGACTAGTTTCAGGGAATTTGGGGAGGTGGGTTTGGGCAGAAACACTGAGGGTATTGTAGCCACGCATTCTGGGAAACGAAGTCACTCAGAAGGACAATGCAGACAGTGGAGTGCAGTTTATTACACTGGCGGGCCCAAGGCAGAGTCTCCTCTTAGCCAAGGACCCCAACCAGTTTTTGTGAAAACCTTATATACCTTAAGTGTATGTGCCCAAACCCACTTCCCCAAATTCCCTGAAACTAGTCTGAACAAAGGAAAAGAAAGATACAATCAAAGTTAACCCATGATTCACATGCCTTAAGCCTAGGTAGTTAACAGTGGACAATTATCAATAGGCCTGTGGTCATACCCCAATAAGCATAATAACATTTATGATTCTATTGGGTTACACAGATAATTAGGGTATTCTTTCAGGTGACAGAGAGTCTAGGTACCAGCCCTGGGGCTCTTCCATCTGGGGTTCTGGTTTTCCAGTTGGTATGTCGTTTCCATAGATAATGGGCATATCGCTCAAAGTCCACAGTACGGCCCAAGATGGAGTCCTGCTTTCAAGATGAAGCCTGTTCTGTTTCCTCCTTCACGGGTATATAAGGTTTTCACAAAAACTGGTCAGGGTCCTTGGCTAAGAAGAGACTCTGCCTTGGGCCCGCCAGTGTAATAAACTGCACTCCACTATATGCATTGTCCTGAGTGAGTTTGTTTCCCGGAAGGCGTGGCTACAACAGTCTTGTATCTTGGCTGACCGACCTGAGGTCAGTGCTGTCCATGGTAACATCTTTTGTGTGGCTTCTAACCTATTTTTTAAAGACCACTGGGTGAGGGGAACGAGATCTGTTTGGTAGATGAGGAGGCTGCCTAGGGTCACGGCCAGGAAAACGTCCGGCGTCCACGCTGCCGAGTCCTGTCAGGCTCCGAGGGCCGGGCCCTCTGAGGCTGGCGGCGCATCCAGGACTCCCGCCGCGACCAGTCTCCGCCTCGCCTTCCCTTCTTGGAGAAAGCTCCGTCCCCCCGGGGACCTGACGACCCGCCACTTTGGCAATGTCCAATGAGACTTAGCCAGGGGCGGGACAGACTCCACCGAAGGCCAATCTAATTGGTTCGGGGCGGGGCTGCGCCGGGTGGGAGCTGAGCGGCGAACCGCGGTCTTCCCAGCCCGGAGAGACCGCCGCGCGGGCTGCGCGCAACGGGTGCGCGCGCCCGCTGCCCGCGCAGCCCCTCTGTACGCTCGGCGCGTCCCTCTCCTACTCTCCGGTAGCCGCCGGGAGAGGGGCTCGGGAGTCCGGGCCCAGCCAGGGCTGAGACCGGGGCGGCAGCCGCGGGACAAGCGTCTGAGGTGGGTGCGGAGCGGAAGGGCTGGAGGCCGGGAGGCGGGGAGGCAGGGCAGGAGGATGACTGGGTTCGCCCCGCCAATGGACTCCGGGTCACCAGAGGGAGAGGCCGGCCGAGTTGCGGAGCCCGACTCCTGGCCTGCCTCGGTCCCGGACGCTCGTCCCTCCGCCCTCCCAGGCCACAAGCCTCCCCGCTGAGGGCAACCCTCCCCTCTGGCTGCCCGAGGCCTCCTAACCCCTCCTGCCCTTTGTCGCCTGTGCACCTGCCTTTCGGCCTTGTGCTCCACCCGCCCTCTCCAGGCCAGGCCCCGGCCCAGCCTTCCCTGCTCAGGACCCAGCCCCAAATTAGACTTGCTTCTTCAGCCCCTAGTCCGTCCCTCTTTGTCGTCTGTACACCTGTCACCCCAACTCTGTTCATTCACTCCACCACCCTGCCCCCAGCATCTTCATCTAAATTCAGCCTAGGCCTTCCGCCCCCTCCCCATCCTTGGGGTTCCTCCCGCCACTCTGATTATCCCCTACACCTGCCCCCCTCGGCCCCAG